GGGGGGGGCGGAATGTGAGTTACAATTCAGTTTTCGGGGAGTTAGAAATCGGATGCGATGCTTGTGTAAAAATGTCATAATTCAGACGTGTTAGTAGGAAGCTCGCGTTCCTTATTCTGAGCATCTACGAGCGTTCGAGTCTGCGAGAAGAGGTTCTTCCCAAAACGGACTCGAGTATTTTTCTGCGTGTGTGTGTGCGTGTGTGTGTGATTGTGTAACCTCAGTTTGTCCGTATGTCAAGTGCAAAATCTCACTTCCCTGTATCAATGCAAAGAGGGTAGTACCAGTCGAAGCTCAACTCATCGCTTTATGCCACCCACAGTTCTTCCCCTCCCTCCCCCCCCCCAATCATCATCATCATCCCTCCAACCAAGTGAAGAACTGAAGCGTCGTGAAAACAAAATGGAGGGTTTTTTTTCCCCCCCTTCACTCCTCCCCATCCCTCTACCACACGTCCTCCAACTTTTCCACCTCCTCCTGCCGCTCCTTTTCTCCACTGCTCCCTCCTCTGTCTAGATGAAGTACTCCTTCTTGTCCTCTGCTCCAGAGTGGCCTCCCTCTGCGTTGATGATGGCAGTGTCGGCATCAGGGGCGTCGTCCGAGCCCTTGGCTTCGTGGGTCAGATACGTCCCTGTGGAAGGAAAGAGACGGAGAGAGACGGAGAGAGTGAGCGAGGGAGATGATGGGTTTGCTGAGGCAGCAGAAGTCAAACACTGGCTCTGACAGACGACAGAGTCCCGGTGGTTATGTCTTAATCATCGTTTTCAATATGACACTTATTAAATTGATGGAATCATGTGTGCGGTGAGTCACCGTCTTTCATCAACAAGAATAACTGAATAACTTTGATATATGGATGTTGTGCGTAGCTGGTGAATCAAACGTTTGTGACAAAACTCTCTCGCTGCATCGACCGGGAAGAGGTGAAAGTCATGAATCCGGAGTTTGTGACTTTGACCAGTCAAGAAATGACCGAGGAAGAAATTTACATCCGATGCCAGAGGCCATCTTTGAACAGAGACGGGGTTTATGATCTATCCCCCAAATATGAAAAATATGACCTGGTATTAAGTGCCCGCCCCGACTCGGACAACCATCCATTTGTTGGGGAAGACCCTGAGATGTCATTGAAAGAACCCAAAAGATAGAAAGTGGAATACAGGGTTAGAATATTTTGTCAAACTACTTTTAAAGTGAATTGAAACTAGGATAAATAATCTTTCACAGAACACAAGTGCACATTTTCTTTATCTGTTGCTTTGTGGCTAATAAATCTCAAGTCATTCTAACAACAGGTGCCTGAACCAACCAGAGGGAGTCGCTGGTACAGCAACTTGATCCCTCACAGGCCCGGCACCATGTGAACACGAGGCACCAGGCGATCGTGTTCGATATTCTGACCCAGCTGGAGGCACCGGAGCTGGGGGGTGAATCTGGCTAACTTTGGTGTTGGTGGTGGTGGTGGTGGTGGAAATGTGTTATCAACTGCACCACCTGGGGGCCAAAACATGTCGATATTACCATTTAAATTTCCCCTGCTGGAGCGGAGACATTTGAAAGTGCTTTGTTCCTGTTTGTTTATATTCCAAAAGCGAATTTTGGAGAACTGAGCGTGAGTGAGTAGAGAGAGACAGAGCAGAGCACAGGAGCTGATGTGAGTAAGAAGGCAATTAAGTTTCCTCCACATCACTTTCAATCTAATATTTGACCATTTAATTGAAAATACGCGGCGGAGACGTTGTTTGAATCAGGAAATCTAATCTCACAGGATGTTGTGTGACCCAAAATGTTTTAAAAGGCAATGAATAAACATTCTCTTCATTCACTTTCTTATTCTGCTTTGAGAGTAAAACAAGTGAGGCTTGTGCCTTGAATTTATATTTAGGTATGAGTGCATTTCCATTTCTTTGAATGCATGTGTGTGTTTTTTAATTGTGAGATCCACTTGGTTCGTATGGATCCATATTAATTCAAGTGTATGTCCATGTACGTGCACGTGTCTGTGAGCAGCTGACCTTTGTGTCTGATAAGGTATCTGCCGAGGACAATGAGGAGGCAGAGCAGAATGAAGACGATAACCGCCACCACACCTCCGATCACAGCGTGGTCCACCCCCGAAGAGGTCAACATGGCTGTGGGGTCTTGAGAAGGAGAGGAGAGGAGAGGAGAGGAGAGGAGAGGAGAGGAGAGGAGAGGAGAGGAGAGGGTGGAAGGTGAAAGATTGTGGTTAAGAAAAGGAGGTGGAAGAGAAATGGATGAGGAAGAAACAAAGAAAACAGCGAGAGAAAAGGAGGAGGAGACAGTGAGAAATAAGCAGAAGGAGGGATGAAGACAGGGATTGAGGGAAAAGGGGGTGGTGGAGGAATTTTGGTTGAAAGAGGAGACGGATGATGAAAGTCAGCAGAAATAGAGAGAGAGAGAGAGAGAGAGAGAGAGAGAGAGAGAGAGAGAGAGAGAGAGAATAATGGGGAGAGTGAGGAGAAGACAGAAGAAAACAAAAGAACAGGGAAGCAGAGAAGTCTTGTATATAATACACAGGCACAGATGCAAAGCTTCAGAACACAGAGACAAGGATATGAGAAAAACCAGGCGAAAGAAAAGAGGCCACCGTGTCACCCTCCACCCATTAAAAATGATTTGTGACTCACATGCAGCACGACGCTAAAGTTCACCCGCAGAAACTTGTGGGGACAAACACCGATGATGTTGGGTGAAATCCTTACCGCTAATTCAGGCCGGGGTCATTTCCATTTTGTTATGCTCTTCTTTTGATTAAGAGACTCGTGGTTTGAGGAATCCGAGGCTGGATCACCGAGGAGGGGGAGCAGGTAACTGCAACATGCCCCCAGACCTCCACGCTTTATAATAATCAAATGTATTCTGACTATGGCACATTAAAGAGCAAACACAGAATACATTTGACATGACATTTAAGTTAATACAAATAGTTATGCTATGTGAAAATGTGCTTTGCCAAATTGTACCTTGATTTTCAGTATATTCCTCACCCTTACTAATTACTTATTTATTAAAAGTACCAGGAATTGTATTATTAATATTCTTCAGAAATATACTTGTTGCATTATCTTTTTAACTATTATTTAAATTCCAAAATATAAAAATTCAGGATTTTCACCCACCAACAGATATTAGATCATTTCCCACAGTTTGCCTCGTTTCAGACCCTCTGGCTTCTCGCCCCTTGGAGAAGTGCATTTCCTACATCGTTTATTTCGCCTGACTTTTCCGAACAGCTCAAATGTTGGGTGTCAATTTGAAATCACTCAGAAAGGCACAACTCAAAAGAAACACTTTTTATATATAAAGGCATGAAAAAAAAAAAAGGAGCTGAACAAAGAGGCTGGTTCTCGCTTGGTGAATGTTTGAGAGGTCAAACCGATGAAGAGGACGAGGATTCAACCAGTCAGAGGAAGAAAACTTAGCTTGTACATCCATTCAGAGCACAGGAGTGAGAGCTCAGAGGCACAGCAACAGCCGTAAGACAACCAGATATGCAGACGAAACTGAAACTGATGAGGGAAGGGAGGGGAACACAACCAACTGAGACACCAACAGGTTCGGTCAACGGCCAACGTCGGAGGAACAAGTCACATTTCTGCCAGTTAGAGACGTGAAGGAGCATAACAACAACCAACCAGAGGCCAACCACATACAGAGAACAGGGAGAAGAGGGGGGGGGGGTGTGTGGAGCGGTGTGCACCAGTCAGAATGACACACACACACACACAGACACACAAACACACACACACACACACACACACGCTCTGGCTGGCCGGTGTGGAGGTGAGAGGGGCATGCTGACGAGGCGAGACTGAGAATGAGCCCATAAATCCTGCTGTCAGCATCAAAGAAAAGCAGACAAGACCCGAGAACACCTCGAAGCCTGGCCCCTCCCTCACAGGCTAACACACACACACACACACACACACACACACACACACACACACACACACACACACACACAGAAACATGCAGTGGAAGTGAAACACTGTGTAAATGACTCGTACCACTTAAGGGGTCATGCTAGTGTGTGCGTGTCCTTGTGAGATAGATAGATGTGAGCGTGTGGTGCGAATAGTGTGCTGTGAATGTGTGTCACATGTGAGGGAGTGTGTGTGTGTGCGTGTGTGTGCGTGCGTGAGTGTGTGTGTGTGTGTGTTTTGAGCTCGTCTGGGCATGTATGGGCAACAACAAAGAATTACGTGGGCAGGAATATGAAATATTCATCCCTCTGCTCTGAAGTTCAAAGGGTCCCTTGACTATTTTTTTTTTTTTCATCCAGAGTACGAGACAGACAAAAAACAGACAGAACTACAGACAGTCAGACCTACAGATGGACAGACAGACAGACTGACAGGTGGACGGAAAGTTAGAACGACAGAAAGTCAGAACTACAGGTGACTGGTGGAAAAGTTATACCTGCAACGTTGTCTGCAGCATCTTCTTAAGTGGATGAGTAGATGGATTGGTGGATGTTTAGATGTTTGGATGGATGGATGATGAATGGATGAACGGATGGATGGATGGATGGATGGAGGAGTGTGTGTTGAGGGGTTTGGACAGTTAGGTATCATTAACAGGAGGAAGAGGGAAACAAGAAAAAAAACATCAAACAGTTGTGACACATTTTTCCACTTTTTCCTTCATCATGTGTCCCAACAATTTATATGGGTTTGTAGCTGTGTGTGTGTGTGTGTGTGTTTGTGTTTGTGTGTGTTTAATAAACGAAAGCACAGTTTGTGTGGACGGACAGAAAGAATAGCAGAAGAACTAACGTGACCGGTGTTTGTTTTCCGCTCCATTACAAAGCTCCTCATAAACTCTCTTGTTTGCAAGTGTGTGTCCAAGTGTGTAACTCAGATGGTTTTACCTGTGAAAGTGTAAACTCCATTCAGCTGGACGGAAACTGGGGGAGTAGGGGGGGAGGAGGGAGCGGCAGTGGATGGAGCGATGCTTGCAGAGGACAAAGGAGGGGTGGCCGGGGAGGATGAAGGGGAGAATGGCAGGTCGGGAAAGAGGGCGTTTGAGAGAGTGGTGGTGGAGGAATCGGAGATGGTGGTCGACACGTCAGCCTCTGAGGGGGTGGCAGTCGGGGAGGGGGAGGAGGTGAAAGTGGATTCAGAGCTGGAGCCAGATAATACATCAGTGGGAGAGGCGGTAGGAGGGGAAGAGGAAGATATCGGAGGGAAAGAGGAAGATATCGGAGGGGAAGAGGAAGATATCGGAGGGGAAGAGGAAGATATCGGAGGGGAAGAGGAAGATATCGGAGGGTAAGACGAAGTCATCGAAGGGGAAGGGGAAGATATCGTGGAGTCAGTGGAGGGGGAGGTGGTGTCCGGGTTGTCTGGGTCCGAAGGATCTTGGGAGGAGGAGCGAGCAAGCAAAGCGCAAAAAAGTAGACATGGATCGAACGAGCGGGACACAAAAACGCAAAGGGAGAGAAGCGCACGAACGAGCGGAAGCGGTTGGATGGTGAGCGGTGGCGATTGTGGTGGCGCGGAAGGATGAGAAAACCAAAGAAAAGAAAAACAGGAGGAAAGAAACAAAAGTAAATCAGAAGAGAAGAAAAGATGGAAGAAGTACAAGCAAAGCCACAAGAAGAAATAAAAAAAAATGTGATGAAGAAAAGTAATAAGAAGACAACCCAACCCTTTCACATTTCTCTTTACATCCATCCCTCTCTTCCTTCCCACCACACACTGACACCCTGTTGTTTTTCTTCCCTCCTTTCACTCTTTCTTGTTACCTTGCACCAGGAGTGTGTACTCCCCCTGGCTGGTGCCGATGCCGTTGTTAGCTTGGCAGAGGTAGACGCCATTATCTGATTTGTTGAGCATCTCGAAGCGGAGGAAAGCACCGTCGGCTTTGGCCAGTGAGGGGAGCTCACCATCCTTCTTCTCCCAGTTGTAGGACGCCGGCCTGAGAGAGGAGGGAGACAGAGAGCGCTGAGTTGAACTGTTCATGCTCTGCACATTTTGCATAAAAAAGTCATATAAACTCAAAAGAGAGGTGAAGAGGTGATGAGAGCAGAAGGAAGCTGTGACGGGAGCTGCGGGAGAAAGAAAAGAGATGAAGTCATCAAGAGGGGAGTAGACGGACAGAGGGAAAAGGATGCTGGGAGGAGTGAAGGAGGAAAAGATAAAAGTAGGGGAGGCGGGACAGTCAGAAGAAACAAGAGAACAAGATAGAGTGAGCAATGTAGATGGGGGGGTAAAGTAAAGTAAAGGAATGATGAGGAAAATGATGGGGAGAAGGAGTGCAGCGGGTCTGGGAAGAAACAAGCTTAAAAGAGATGGAGGGAGAAGAAGAAGATCAGCATTTCAAATCAGCCTGCGTCAAAAAAAATCCATTCTGCATAACAGATTGTGTATGAGAGCAACAGCGAGACGTGCCTTGATAAAAGAATCAATTATGTAAATGCGGAAGTCCTTAAGCACTGTACAGTAATTACAACGATGGGGAGTCTGAATCGAGGACAAACCTGAATGTGTTGGGACTGATTAATCTCTCTTTAAAAATGTGGAAGAAAAAAAAACCTACGCAATCTGTGACCTCACAAGAGAAGCCAGATGATTGTGTCCAGCCGCTGAACCACAAACTCTTCCAGACAGATGCTTTTAAAGTGCAGTCGGGTGATTCCGAGAGCCAAAACCTAAGTTATGGCTGCAGGGCAAAATTCTCAAACTGAGTGGAAGCTAATCGTCTCCTCCCTTGACACCTGCCGCTGAGCAAACACTGGAGAGACTGCGGACTCTCTGCGAAGCTCTACAGTTTGAAAATGAATAGAAATCCTAACTGAGCTTCAAAACAGCAGCTCTGGTGTCTGGTGTAAAATAAATATTTAAAGAAGCATTTCCTGGTCATGTTTGTCTACATCCTCTCGTCACCTGCGATAAAACGCGTCCAAATGCAGGTTCATGTGCAATTAACTGATCAATTACCTTCACATTCACAGGCCATAACTTGTGTAGTGCTATTAAATGTAATGCTCAAAAGTCAATCTCTGTTATACGGAGGGTAGTTTAAGTGCAGACCATGCTGATGATTCCCATCATGCTTCTCTTCATGGGTTATTCCTGCACGCAGGAAAGGTGGAAACTTTTCAATTAGCACGCATGCATCAGTAAACACTGCACAAAAGTCATGATACGCTTCAAGACATTCTTTATTGCAATTACGAGAACGCTGGTGCAAAAATATTCCTCCTTCCTCGCAGCTGTAATCATTAGCATGAGGTAGAATGAGCTTTTGGGTGTTTGCGCTAAATTATTAATATAAAATGTGTTGAATTATGCTCGTATCTAAATCTGAGTACTTCAACACGTAGTAACAAATACTGTCATCACATCGGGATTCTTATGGTTCAGGGTCGAATCTGCAGGTTTTTTGTATCCAAACTTTATATTCACCGAACCCCTGAAAAGACAAACTCTCCTTTCTTTCTGGCTCTCCGTCTCATTGGTGTCTATGGAAAATAAAGAACTAATAACTCAAATTTAAGGAGACATTTATTTTCTGCTCATATTCAGACTGGAAATTTTAATTAGTGTTGAATTTGCTTTGTGCTGAATCTCCTCTTTTCAGCCTCTGGTGTTAACTCCTGTCTCTTTAAGGCCCCGCCTCCCGATAAAGCGGAGTCTTTGATTGGGCAGCCGACCCGCTCTGTTGCGATTGGTCAACCGTGGATTTAACTTTGCAGAACTTTTATATTTATAAACCAGAAAGGCTCTCAGTAGAGCTCATGCATCCACCAAGGCCAACGGCCCCCAGCATGAAAACACATTTCAATAAAGTATAGATGCAGATTTTTTAAATATGGATCTGCACTGTATTGCTCATAAATATCAGTCCCCTTGACATTGCAGATTTTTTTTTCTCCATCCAGATTCATTGCCTGCAGGAATTTAGCGAAAAAGTCAAATGAGCCCTGTTTCTCAATGTTGAAGAAAGTAAATAAAAAGCCCTGATCCCAATCAGCACCAGAAGTCACTGCGCAGGTAATCCATCCAGTGGTTCTTGCATAATCCTGCTGACTAACAGACAGACAAACAAACCCAGATAAAAACATAACCTCCTTGATGGAGACAACAGGAAGGACACTCAGAGAGCGAATACGAAAAGGTTAAAGAAAGTCATACTCCTCTTTTCCACCAAGTTTCAGTTTAATCAGTTCAGTAGTTCTGCGTTTGTCCCACTAACAAACAGACAGAGCAACGAAAACAAAACGTCCCCGGTGGAGGTGAAAACCTGTACAGTGGAATTTTCAGCACAGTGTTGGTTTTTACAGCCTGTGTCTCACCTACATGATGTTTTGACTCTCATCACTGTCGTATCCACACCGAGCAGAGTTACCCACACGAGTGCAATGATGCGGCTCACTGATGTGTTTTTAATAGTTTTTTGGACAACACTGAGGCTCCACGGCACAGAGGAATAACGCTAATCAGGCTCTGGCTGCAGAGGCGATCCTGGTTAGCAGCTTTAATTCACTGTTGCTTTTCCTGGGATTTCTTTGACAGTAAGAGACGTGCAGAACATATCCAGCTTTACCCTTTAACAGGTCACAGATTATCCTAATCCCTGTACATGTCACCTGCTGTTTTCTATCCGTGGCCGTGACCTTGCACACTTAAAGTAGCCTGCACGCAATCAGTCAAAGTTATGCAAGGTCTTTTAGTTGCAAACCTGTTAAGAGAACAGTCTTACAGAGTTTAACTTGGTTAAATGAGTTCAAGGGGAGAAATGTGATGCAAAGGGGAGCGCTCCCCCGACGCCCTGATTGAATAAATGGGAAATATAATAGAATGTGGAGCACAAACCCCTTCCCTTCTAGTGGAGAGCTCTTTGTATCAGGCGTCGAGGAAACACTGAACGCAACGTGATACGATAAGTTATTGTTCTGAACCAGACAGGATGTGACCGGGAAGAGAAGAGAGGGAAGAGGAGAGGAGGGGAAAGAAAGGAAAGGATAGGAGACAAGAGAACAGAGGACAGAAGAGGAGACAAGAGGAGAAGAAAGTTAAAGAGAGGAGAGGAGATGAGAGAAGAGAGCAGAGGAGAGTAGATGACAGGAGACGAGAGGAGAAGTAAACAATAGGAGAGAAGAGGAGAAGAAAGGAAGATGATATTGAGTTTGATTGGGGGGGTGAGGAGGAGGAGAGGGGAGCTGAGTGGCTGGGTGTGTCGGAGGAAAGGTGTCGTCGTGGTGATTGGGTTTTGACTGACAGCAGTGGGGGGGGGGTAACCTGTATCTGATGTGATTGGACAATAGCTCTTCCACAAGCAGCGGTGCACGAAACTGAGCACCCCCCTCCTCTCTCTCTCTCTCTCTCTCTCTCACACACAAACACTAGCATCCTCCTGTTCGCTCTCCCTCTATCTGTCTTAGTCATCCGCTGCTTGTCACCAAATCTTTCTGTCTCCCCTCCTCCCACGCTCCCCCCCC